GTTCCATTTATTAAATTATTCACTGATCATCCTCAATCTCATTTAAAATTTTCCTTGACATGGATCTTGTACATTTACTATGTTTATTCCTATGTATTTTTCAGTTCTAGTTTACGTTGTGCAGCAATCTGTTCTTCAGATACGTACTCTGTGTGATGTTTGTTTATATATAGAAAAGCCATTGATTTTTTTTCAGGATTTTAGTTTATTTTTAATATTTTCTTTGGTTTTTATGTGCTTTTCTTGGTTGTTCAAGCCTCAATTTTCTACAATAACATAAAATTGGTTCCTCCTTTATAATTTCTACACCAGAAAAGAAAAAAAATAGTAATGTATTCATGATACCTTTCGCAATTCAGAAATTATACACCTTTAGATAGGAAAAACTGTTAATCTCTACTTCCAAAGCTTCTGAGTTTCATGTCTTGCCTTGAAAGATCTTTCCCATTCTGCAAATGCTAACGACACATTCTATATTTTCTTCTAATATTCTATAGTTTTCAGTTTTACATTTAGATCTTTAATCCATCTGGAATTTATTTCTATATATTGCGTGAGATAAAAATCTAACTTTATTTTTTCCAGATGGTTCACAAAATTTCCCAACATCATTTATAAAATTGGTCAGTCTTTCCTCACTAGTTTGAAATGCCACTTTAGTCATACTCTAAATAGATCAGTTTTTTTTTAAACCAGAGCTTAAAAACTAAATAAAATGAATTACAGTAGAGAACAAAGACAAGAAATGCGAGCAAAAATAGACATTGAGATAAAGCTGGAGACAAACTACTTAATGTATATAAAACAAAATGCAAGGGTCATTCAAAGCAATATATTATACATATGAATAATTCAGAGAACATATTCTTAAAAAATAGAGTCTGGACACTTATAATATATAAGGCTATAGCAGTTGATTATTCAAATGTTGTTTAGAGTTACTCCCATCATATGGAATGTTAATTCAAGCCTCAGAGTATAAGCATCCTCCAGCCATAGTTTAATCCCCAATCAGATCTTTTTGAGAGTGGATCAGAGTGTCCACTAAGTAAAAAACAAAGTCTGACATTAGAAAAAGAGTAACAATCTCTCCTTATAATTCAATTGTTTGGTTTTTCACTTACCTCTCCAAGACTCTTAATATTTCAGTATCTCACTTTCCTGGCACTGGAGGAGAGTAAATGTGGACAGAGACTTGGCCTCTTGCAATTCTCTCTTTTAACAGGAGAGTTGATTAAGAGTTATTGAGATTAAATGCTAAACATAGTAAGAATCAGTGTTGAGCTCTGAAACCTGGCTGGAAATCCTAAAGCATGCACACCTACAATGCACACCTTCCAGCACTTCGAAAAATTGCTAGTAAGTTAACAATTAATATTAAAATAGTGAATCCTGGTATTTCTTAGCCTGTCTTTCTGATCTTACAAGTCCTGAAGTGCTGCCGCGTGTTAATGAAACTGCAACGGAGCCAACTGATACATTTGTGTAGCACTCTTCATTTGGGAAGGTTAAAAGGAATGTTATTGCCAATGCAAATTTTTATTTTTATATGTTACCTGTTTCAGTTTAAATAAAAATTAACAACAGCGTCAAAGGCCGAGACAGTTTACTAATCTTACAACGTCAAGTTATGTTCTCTGAGACTAATCTAAGAAGGGTAAAGAAAACCCATACAATGTTTATGAGGTAAGCTTTTACACAGCATCACTAAAACATGTACACTGTGTTTTCTCAGAAGTGAACTATGTTTTGAGGGAGGACATTTGATTGAGCTTTAATCAAGCAATTAAAATACAACAGCAATAACAAATAAGCCACTTCCTTCGGTGGTAGGGAACTGGCATATGTCTGTAGGGGGTGGTACAGAGGTACAACCTGCATTATATTATACAGATCATCTGAGTCACTTATCTTATTACAAATAAATGGACACCAGTCCCAAGATGTCAGCATATGGGAGGTAACTGCTGTTCTAGCCACTTTATAGCAAACTCTTGGATGCTTTCAAATGTTACCATGTTTAGCATTCTACTAAAAAAATACGATAACTAAATAAATTTTTAACTTTTCATGAGGGATGCTAGAGATACAACCTGGGCTTAAGATTTATTTTTAAATAAGCTAAATGAGCCCTAGCTGGTGTGGCTCAGTGGACTGAGCACCAGACTGCAAACCAAAGGGTTGCCGGTTCAATTCTCAGTGTAGGGCACGTGCCTGGGTTGCAGGCCAGGTCCCCAGTAGGGGGCACAAGAGATGCAACCACACATTGGTGTTTCTCTCCCTCTCTTTCTCCCCTTCCTTCTCAAAAATAAATAAAATAAAAATGAAAAAAAAAAACCCCAAAATAAAATAAATAAGCTAAATGAATATATATTTTCTTTCTACAATAAAAAGAGTAATTTCAAAAGAGTTGGAGTACTGGCAGTTAGGTTAACAAATGATGCTTTTAGTGGATTTTCCTGGAAAATGTTGCCGGAGCATGTTTCTACTTTTCTCGCCATTAACTGCTGAGATGGTCCTGGGTGCTCTCTGCCTTCTTGGCGCTCGAAGCGAAACTAGGCTTTGGACTTTATAGTTCCCAGGCCTTCTGAGGAATGTTAATTACAAAATACTTCACTTAAAAACTAGAAACTCATTCACAAAGCCAAGCCAAGTCTTAGATTTGAAAGCATTTAAAAATATCCTTGCAACAGCCCGCATTACTTTATACTGATCTATTTTTAGAGGCCCACTGTTTGTTTTGCTGGAAAAAAAATTAAAACATGAAAAGTATGCCATGAGCAAATCTGCAATAATAAGTAGCACATACATGTTGTGGAGGAAAACAGTCACCATAAAATAGTCAACATAAAAACAGACTCTGCTGAGGCGTTTTTATAAATAGCAGTTATTATTTTGCTTTCAATTGCAAAGCATTTTAAATAACATGCCCTTAAAAGTTGTCAAGTTTCTTCCTTTATATAGATATGATTTCCTGATCTTTCATAAAATTATTATGGAAAATTATAAATGTATCCCATTAGTTTCATGTGTAATTTTACAATCATATTGTTAAAATTAGAAACACATGGAAGAAAAGAAATAGAAACATGATACCAGGCACTGAAGAACCCATTAGTTGGAAATTATTAATTTCTCTGTATAAAAACAGAAACTGCCTATGAAACTTTTTATCAAATGTTTTGAACAAATATCATGTCATATGGATTTATGATAAAATTAATTGTTCCAATTAATTGTCAACAGGTTACACCTAATCTAAGGTTATACCCAGTCTTATCTCTAACGTCTCTTTGAGTTCCTGAGGATAATAATAGGAGTAACTATGATTTGAGCCCCAAAAGAATAGTTTTGGAACTGTTTGCCTCATACAACTACTCTGATACAGCCAGGTAAATTTTCATACTGTATGTTTAAAAGCAAAAATAAGGGGAAAAAAAGATTCTGAATCACCTCCATCTGGAAAATACAGCAGTGCATAAAAGAAAAGTGCGACTATCTCAATATTGGAAAAATGAACTTTTAATGCAGAAAAGAAAGGCAGATGTCCTGATTTCCACAGTGCTGTGCCATATTTATTCCGACCCCGTCACTAACCTACAGCCTTCAGCCGTGGGTAGGGCTGATGCAAGCCTCCATCACTGGTATCTCCCCCGAGACCAAAGGCCATTTCCAGCAGTGGCAGCTCAGAGGGGCTGCAGTGACTGCTGGCAGACCCCAAAAACTACGGCAACACTTAAAGGGCCTGAAGCCCCGTTATTCACTGCTTCAGTGCTTCCTTGCATCAACCCACATAATTTGACTTGGCTATACAGAAAACGGTGAAGTGCAGTTAAGAAAAATACTGACAAATACTGCAAATCACGTTCAGAGTGGAAATTGTGACTTTACTAGCATTACCAGTATTTCCTGCCTCGCAACCAGTAGATCTGTAACTGAAATGGCTTGCTGTGAATTTTGCAGTGCCCAAGCCAAAAGCAATAAAATTCCTGTAAGAGCATATGCGCCATGACAGAATACCACATCAGCCCAGAAAAATGATTTTCTGGAAAGGTCTGTGCAGCGATGAAGAGGGCTCTCAATGCTATGGAAGCTGGGCAGAGGTTTTCACTGTTTCTAGCCCACACTGAGGTAATTTTAAAGGCACATTTCCTTTATTTGTTCTGCATTCACAGAATGTACCTTTTTTTTTTTTTAATGTCAAAGGGACATTGCAGAAAAGATCAGATGAGATAGTCTGACAATGGAGCCAAAGTTCAAAGCTTCTCTGTTTTCAGGTAACAGCTGGGACAGTTTGTCTGCACTAAATCTCTGGAGGGCATGTCATTGTAACCCTGTCCATAGCTTTTCAAACAGTTCAAGACAAACAAATCACTTAGTCGTTGAACAACTATAACATCTGATACCATCACACAGAAGTTGTAGCCATAGCCACTAATCAAAGTTCTTTCCATTCAGTTAAAAAAAAAGAAAAAGAAAAAAGAAAATTTCTCAGCTTTGGTTTGATAACCTAAAAGCCCTTTCAAAGTGAAAGGGAACAAATATTTATTTGATATCAATAAAAATAGCTATTCAAAATGCACTGATTCAGGTGGAAGCCCAAATAGTGCTCTGATTAGGAGACAAAGGCAGAGGGTATCCATGAGAAAGGGAAGTACATCAGCAGAAGGAAGGCATTTCTATAGGTACAGATAATATAACACATTGATACTAATTCTAAACAATGTTTTTAGTATTTGGTCAGGTAGCCATAAATTCGGTAGTCAGAATATCTGCTTTCTTTTTATCCTTGCCAACAGGTTTTTGGGACACCAGGTTGCTTTAGGCCCAGTCCAAGGTTATTTCATTTTGTGGTTCTAACATCCAAAGGGTGAGGCATAAGCCGTGCAAGGCAGTTCCTCCAGGAAGGCAGCTCTGGCTCCATTTTAAAGTGGCTCCATTGATATTATTTTTGACAGGTTTAAGATCACTTTTTATGTTGTTCTTTTGAAAATTATTATAGACAAGATTTTTTGAAATAGAAAGAGGGAGATTCTGTTTGTAAGAAGGACTGGAAAGTCAAATAATTCACTTGCATGCTGCTGTCAATAAATAACTATGGTGTGGGGTAAGAGTCATCAGAGGTGACTGGCGAGCCCCGCAAAGGCACAACCACGCCCTCCTTGGAACCTCTCTCCCAGTCCCCAGGTGAGACCCCACTCTCAGCTGCATCAATGGGGCCACTGTGTTCTCCTCGTAGGACTTGTGGCTGGCTTTGCAAAGAGGCACGGGCAACCAAGACCAAAACAACCAAGCGGTAGAGGTGTAACATCACCACAAGGAAATTCTTCACAGCAAAGAACACCAGCATCTGGTTGGTCACGTTGAAATAGATCATCAATATGAGGCGCACGATAAGGAAAGGACCATCTTGTATGAAGACAGTGATTCCAATGTTCCACAGATCGGCACTGTATTGGCAGAAGAACTGGGTGGGGAACCCCCTCGCTCTCAAAGATGAGGGACACACTTCATGCTGTACTGAAAACACAAGACAGACCAATTAATATCTCTCTGAAATGCCAAAAAGACAGAATGAAATGGAAACAAGTTTTCAATGATGGGCGCTGTGCTAGTTCATGATTGGGAGTGATTCTGTAATTTCATTATTTCAGAACATGTGAAACCACCTTGCCACCTAACATCCTGATCATTTCATAGTCACAGTTGATATGTTATGTTTCCAGTCAGATACGCCAAAGAAAGCCAGTCCTCTGGTTTATATCCACGTAAAAAATTCAGATCACCTTCTAGTCCTCACACCAGGAAGAGCACAATTAATACGGATAGAGAAAATAAAGAACAGAGGAAACCACCCTGTCTGTCCTTGGGGTCTACCGTGCAGGGAGGCAGCACAGCAGGGTGCTCCAGGTCTCAAGTCAGGGGGCCTTCTGATGCTCTTTGGCTTCCTCATTTTCTAGCAGGAAGATGATGGGCAAGTTACTTAACCTGCCTGGGCCTTAGTTTCCTTCTTTGAAAAATGGGAAATTGGAATCTCTGAGTTTAGGGGCCCCTATTCACTGATTCATTTATTTCCATTAGAATAACACCCTTGGCTTCTTTCTCCTTTCTCATGTTATCTTTCCCTTGGGATAATGAAAGGCTTTCCTCACTGCCAAGTCTGGAGAAGAAACAGAGTATATATGACCCAGACTTTTCTGGATCCTCTCTTTGAAATCTACCTATTTATGGTTGACTTACTTGATCCTATGTGTACAGCATGTTGTGAAAATTCAAGCACTTATATTCAAATTCAAACTTAATTCACATTGAACGTATTTTTCTGGTGGTGGTAAAAAAAAAAAAACCCAAATAAATGCCATTGTTATTTTATTTTGTCTAATTCCTCATGGTTTTGTTTCACAGTTTACAAGAAAAACTGGATATAATTACTGATTTTCCAGTTGAACAAAAGGAGGTCCAATCAACACATGAACATTTTTGTTTTAATTTATAAAATGTGAATTTAATTTGAGGTCAAGAGCAGAAAATAATTCTTTAATAATAATGATGCCTTTCATTTGGAGTTTTCAAACAAAGAATGCCTTGTCTACTAAAGCCAGCAAATATTATGAAGCTGCTTTGATATGAACGTAATGCACTGTTTGCTGGAAAATACAATAGTAATTTAGTCAGAAGTAACATTTGGTCTTTGTTTTTCAAACAGCTGCATAACATTATCACCCCAAAAGTTTACACAATTTCTTTCTTAAATAAAAATTTTCTTAGCAAGGCTATAAACCACAAGATATGGGAGGGTGATGACCAACAGAATGAATGACAAAAGAGAAACCAACGTAAGATCAATAGCCTTTCCAAAGAAGTTAGGGTCAAGAAAAGGCTTCTAAGGCACCTCCTAAGAATATTGTTCCACATCTAGATTGTTGGTGCCTAATATTCTGTCAGAAGACACCAGCTGATCAATGACTATAGGGTGTCTCTTAGGGCACATTATGAAAAATTTCTCTCTCTGTGCATGTGTGTTATTGGCATACATTTGTTCATAATTATTAACTAGTAAGTAGGTAAAGCTACAGCCACTCTTTTCATCTATTCTGGTGACAATTTTGTTGCAGGAAAGTAGATGCTAAAGTTTAAAATGGCTTCTGAAACCTCTGGGTCTATCAAAGTGAGCCAAAACAAGATACAAAAAAAAATTAAATATCCTTGCCCTAAGGTTAATTCTCATCCAGAGGCCATCAGGTAGGGTGCTATACAAAATAAGACAGACTTAAGGAAAATGTAACTAGTAGATCCTAGAATTTCTTCAAAGTAAAGCAGGATCCAGAAGAATCCCTAAATCAAGATTTCAGTGGTCCTAGAAGTTACAGGCAAACTCCAGATCAGTGCTATCCAATGGAACCTGCGATGGTAAAAATGTTCTATAGCTGCACTGTCTAATACAGCAGCCATATGTGGCAACTGAGTACTTGAAATGTGGCTAGTGTAACTGAGGAACTGTACTTCTAATTTATATAATTTTAATTAATTTTAATTTTTAAATAGCCACATTTGACTAGTGGATGCCATTGTACAATGTAGCTCTTGATCATCAGTGGTACAAAATACCTGGAAAACAATTTACTTCTTGCAAAGTCTTAGGGGTTTATATCTTTATTAAAAGAAGACCACTGGGATTTCTAGAGCCACTACTGAAGAAAATTTTAATTTTCCATATGGCCCTGAAACTGCTTTTGCTCCCTGTGATATTCCAGTACATACGTCTGACAGAGGCATGAAAACGACCCCTTAAAAATATCAGGAGATAAGATTTATGCGCCAGCAACTGTGCAAAGCACTTTACAAACTATATCTTACTTAGTCATCGCAAGAACCCTCACCCCAGCTCCTGTGACTGTCATTCCCATTTCATGGATGAAGAACTGACACACAGATGTGCTAATTTTCAGGAGGCTTTGCATATCTTCAGGGATGGAACCGCTCTGTGAAGTGAAGGTAAACCCGTGCGCTTGTGCACTCAGCCGCCTCGGGCTCACCACGTACCAGAGTGAGTCTCAGACGATTTTTTCTAAATGTTGATCTACTTTGTGTCTAACCTGAACTGGAACTAACACTGAGATAACAAAAGATAAAAAGGCTAATTCCCTCAAATGCCTCCTTAGCTTTATTATAATTTATAATCAAGAGCTGTAGTTTTCTGTTTCTTGGAGAAAAATATCAAGACACTTACCTGCCAGGTCAAGTGGAAACTGCAGCAGGCCCCAGGTCCATATGAAAAGGATAGCACAGACTAGGACAAAGTTATTCCTAGAATACAGACAAAACTTTAAATTAGCAACAAAAAATATGGTCCTATGCAAAAAAGAGGAATCTTTTCTCTTTCTTCTCATATTTATATAAACTCATATTTATATAAAAGAATATATTTTCTTACATCTTGGTGATATAATAAATTCATGAATAATTTTTGCATAATTATCATTATATAGTTTTTTAAAAGGGACAAAAACCCTGCAAAACAAAAAAATCAGAAAGCTCAGTTTCAACCACCACATGTGCCAACATCTGTGTGAATTATGGCAAAGCTTCTTAGTCCCATATTTCTGTCTTTAGCTTTGCAAAATTATACCAACATTAAGGGAGAGAATGCTAGAAAAATGCCAGGCATTGATCTGGAAATTCAGAGGCCTGATTTCAAGAAATTTCAAGGATAAAAGTGAAAATTATCCTAAGATCCCAAGATTCTTACTTAAAATGTACCTCAAAAGTGCTAGATGATGCCCAACAATTAAAAGCTCAGCACATACAGAAAAGCCATCTTCAGATGGAAATCAAGTGGGAAGAAAAATCCAAGAATCAGAGATTTATGGCAAACTTTAGGAGGTAAGTCAAGGAACATGACTTTTTTATTCACCTCTGCATCCTCAGTGCCTAGAACAGTGCCTGGCCAATAATGAACTCTCACCAAATATCTGTGGAGGGAGTTGCTGAATGTACAAAAGAAAGGTCCATAGTTAGCAAATATGCAAATGTCCTAGACCTAGAAGAATGGTCTTAAAGACTAAAGTCATAAAGAATAGAGGTTACAAAAATACAAAACATATTTCAAAAGTACCAAAGTCACTTTTTTTTAGCAAAAATACAAATGAAAATATCAATTTCAGGTTAGTGGTATAATAATAGATTTTGTTGCCAACTTTCCTGTCAAGAGGGATTTTCAGATTGGAGAGGGATAGAAAAGCATCAGGGAAGAGTAATTGAAACCACACTAAATGAGGTAATTGTAAAGAATACCTTGAAATGCTTCAAGTATTGAGGCCCCCAAAAATTAGATCTCAGAACTCTGAGAGAGTTTGTAAATGAGTTTTCTAAGCCATCATTATCTGTCTTGGCAGTTAATAGTGGAGACACGGTTGGTGACAAAAAATAAATAAATGAAGTCCTAACTTTCAAAATGAAACAGAAGTATATTTTAAACTAAAAAAGGCACATTCAGTATAAATCCCTAGTTAGCTTATATGCGATTATTTAAAAGATTTCTGATAGGCCTTAGGGAAGACAGTAATAACTAGAAATCAGCACAGTTTCCCCGAGAATAATTGCACTCAACTATGATTATTTTCTCCCTCCATCTCCCTCCCTTCCTCCCTCCCTCCCCCCGCCCTCTCTCTCATAGAATTAGGATTACAAGGCAGGTGTTGATATATATTAATAATATGGGTTGTGATTTTTAACCAGACATATGAGAAAACCTTTCATGGTGTTATTTTCAACAAGATTAAGAGACATTCTGGGTGTGAGTAAAGCTAGGTGGATTCTTAACTGAATCAATGACTCCCAAGAGATAGCTCTCTAATGGGTTGCTTTCAGGCTCTGCCTTTGATTCTGTTCTATGTCCTGTTTTGTCAATGACTTGGTTGCCAACACTGGTGGAAGGCTTCACAAAGACACATATGACAAAGGTTGGATGGGAAAACAAAATCCTGGAAAATACAATCAGGATCCCAAAAGATCTGGACAGGGAGTAACTAGATAATCTAGAATAAGCTGGAAGTGGTATTTCATAGCAACAGCCATAAAAAGGTGACAAGATTTTTCCTTACTATTATCTAATTATGAGCCTACAGTATGATATGCTTTCTGGTTTTCCAAAATCAAGTGCAACCATAAGTCACTTCACAAGATGTATAAATCTAGAATTTTAAGTGGAAATACCTAGGGAACACAGTCTACAACTTTTCCCTCTTTGCGATGTTAATGTCTATCTATAGTAGACCTTCAAGATGTGCCTGAATTTTTAAATAATTTTACTTAGAGTGTCTGAACTATGTTCAGCCTGTTTTCTAAGTGTTTAATTCTATGATCACACTTCATCCTCACACCAGCTCTACAAAGTACATACACTTATTATCCTTACTTGACCAGTGGGGAAACTGAGGCATAGAGAATTGAAAAAACTTGTTCAAAGTCATGTGGTTATAGTGTTGAGAGCAGAAATCAAAACTAAATAGTTGATTTCAGCATCCACCCCTTTAATCATTGCACTATACTGTTTCCGTGAACAAAATGGAAAGTTTTAGCTCTGCTCTATTCGACAATGTTCAAAATGTATCTGAAATATTGTGTGTTGTGTTTTGTTTTAGGAGGAACATTTAAAAAGTTCTTGGTCCAAAGGAGAGAGACTAGGATGGTGAAGAAGTCAGAGCCATGTTATATGTGGAGTAGTTTGGAGACTGAAAACTAGAGAAGATTCCTTTAAAATTATATTTTATATTTTATATTTATTTAAAGGGCTATCATGTGGAAAGGGAATTAAACTTATTTCTTGTGACTTCAGGGGGCAATTCAGTTTCAAAGGATTTTAGTTGCACCTATAAGAATCAAAATTTCATCACAATAGAGGAAACTACTTTCTAATAATATTAACTTAAAATAGAATGACTTGCTCCTGGGGTTAGTATATTCTCTATTAGTGAAAAATTTCAAAGAAAATCTGGACGAAACTTGTTGAGAAAATGTTGGAGAAGATGTTGCAATAGATGTAAAATAGATTTTTCAATAGGTGGTCATTTTTGAAGTTCTCCTAATCCAAAACTTCAGTCCTTCTACCAGAAACTCATGTACAATCTGTCTCAAGGCAGCAGAAAGTGATGGGAAAGCATAAGCTTTGGTACTAAGTTGCTCGAGTTTAAATACCAGCTCCATGCCTCACCAGAGAGATGTGGGCCTCCAATCCCAGGTTGATCATTAACTAGCTACACAAATATGAACAACTAATTTAACTTCTATATGCTTTAGTGTACCTATTTACAATATGAGGATAGCAATAATAATAGCTATTGTATTTTATATGGTAATTTTCTTAAGTGTATTGTTTAAATATGTTAAACGTATCAAGCTCTTAGAACAGCATTCCATACAGACTAAGTAGATTGCTACAAGTTAGTTATTACTTTTATTTCTATTTGAGCTTGAGACTGTCTCAACTGCTCTTGTCTGTCACTGTTCAATTTATAAAATGACGGTAATGGTAGCATTTACCTCATAGTGTTACCATAAAGACTAAATTTATCATGACTAAAACCCTTAGAAGAGTGCTTGGGACACAGCAAGTGATAAATATTATCTACTCGTAGTAATTGTTCTATTTTTATTATTATGTGAATATATTTCTTAAACTCTCTGTGTTTTAATTTCATCATTATACAAAATATAGATAAATAATATACCAACTTTAACCCTAAGGAAGCCAAATTCTAACCCTGCAATAATGAATGTCTTTTGCATATGCAAGTATTATCTGAGCACACACAAAATACAGGAAAATGTGTGTGTTGTGAAACTTATTAGTAAAGTTATCAAAAATAACTTTGGAAATGATGGCCAGAAAATTTTTAAAGCAGACAAATTTGTATTATTAAGTCAGACAGTTAACATTACTCAGGAATGTTAAAGGTTGGAATGTAAATAAATCACAGAATTTAAATGGCAAACATTCAGAAAAATTATGAAGGGATTTTGGAGTGAATTTGTCCAACATTGTCTGCATTGTGTAACTGTCTCCTTCAATTGTCTTGCCCCATTTTCTCATGTGTAATCTGTCTCCATAAATGTCAACTGAGAACCATGTAAGCAGACAATGAACTCTATTCATAAAGAGACAAAAGATCTGGAAAAGTATAATTATAGGTGTGAGTATTACTTCTATACTTGGAAAACTCAGAGGATGAAAGACTGAAATTTGGTACATCGCTACACCAAATCTACTGAGTGAAAAATAAAAATAAAGTCATACATTGATAGTTTGCTTAACTATTTTTTGGAAGTGTAAATATTCCTGTAGATAAGAGATAATCAGTGACTAGAGTTCATCTAGTTTGTTAAAAGGCATCAAACAAACCTCTTTAGAGGGGAGGGGAAGGAATTAAAGGAAAGAGAAGAAAAGAAAGAAAATGAAATATTAATTTAGCTTGGAAAAATATTTCACCAAGAAAAAACTGCTAAATAAAAAGAAAACAGTATAAACATGAGAAAATTCTCTTTTGTTTGGTCAAATACAGTAAAGTAACAATAATGCTATAGGAACAGATATTTTCTTTTTAATAAATGACCTGTGCTCAAAAAAGACTACACAGAGTGAACTCAAAGGTATAAAGAACCACTTAACTCTCCCTGGTAATGATACAGAAATTTAGACTTGATAAAATGTTGAAGGATGGCTGTAGCAGAATGAAAAAGTCAGCAAATCCTCTCCCCAAAAAACAGACATAAAAACGGACAAATTGTAAAAAAAAAAAACCAAAAAACAAAAAAAACCAAACCCAAAACAATCAAACAGACAAAAACACTTCAGGTCTCTGGAAATCAACCAAAGACAAATAACAAACTGAGTAACGTTTATTCAGGAAAATTTGTTAGAACTTTGGTGGAAAGCAGTGGGGGTCTGAGGCCCTCTTGCCCATGGGGATGTTCCCATGTCCCTCCAGCTTGGCTATGTCAAGGATAAACTGCACCACACAAAGGTAATTTGGGGGGGGTGTGGAAGAGTCTATTCAAGACTATTGCAATAGTGGAGAGAGATTGAATTCACGCCTACTGAAACAAAGGGCAGGAAGGAGATTACGCACTGGGTGAGCCAGTGGAAAGGTACTAGAGGACATTAGAGAGGGAAAAGTGGTGTAAGACCTATACTTTAAAAATTACAAAGTATTGCTGAGACAAATTAAGGAACATTTGAATAAAATAAGAGGTAGTTCATGTTCACAGGTTGGAAGACAATATTAAGATGTCATTTCTCCACAAATTGATGCTTAGATTTAATACACGTCTTATCAAAACTCACACAAGATTTTTTTGTAGAATTTTATAAGCTGATTATAAAACTTTTATGGAAATACAAAGGACCTAAAATAGCCAAAGTAATTTTTGAAAAGAAGAATGTTAGAAGACTTACAGTATCCAGTTTCAAAAATTAACTTAAAACTCTAGTAATCACAATAATGTGGTACTATCATAAAAATAGACATACAAATTAATGAAACCCAATAGAATGTCCAAGAAAAAAACCTCTTACATATGTGGTAAATTGATTTTTGACAAAGATGACAAGGCAATTTAATCGGGAATGGATAATCTCTTTCAACAAATGGTGCCAAGACAATTGGTCCCAGCTGAGACAAAAAATAGTACTGGAACAATGCCCAAAACAAAACAAGACAAAACATGAAATTAGACCCTTACTTCACACTACACGCAAAGAAATTAAGTCAAAATATTATAACAGAAAGTATTTCTAATCTTAGGTGAGGAAAATATTTCTTAGATATGACACCCAAAATATTATATAAAAAAAATTTGATACATGGGAATATATCAAAAATTTTTATAAATTGTTCTTCAAATGACATTAAAGAATAAAAAATGAGCTGTATACTGGGAGAAAACATTTATATTTATATATTGAATAAAGGATTTTTATCTGGAATATATAAAGAACCCTAACAACTCAATAATAAAAATCAATCCAAAAGTGGGCAAACACTTTTTTTACAGACACTTCTGTACAGTGTCTGTAAACACATTTGAACAGACACTTCACCAAGAAGAGGATGTAAATAGCTAATCAGTACATGGAACAATGCTCAACAGCATTAGTCATCAGGGAAATGCAAATTAAAACCACAATATGATACTACTATGAACTCATTAGAATGGTGATCATCAAAGACTGAAAGGAAAGTGTTGGTGAGGATGTTGGAAAAAAGAAACTCTCGTTGTTGGTGGGAATATAAAAAGTTACAGCCACTTTGGAAAAGTTTAGCAGTTTCCTAAAAGTTAATCATGCGCTTATGGTAAAACCCAGTCATTCTACTCCATCTATCTACCAATAGAAATGAAAGAAGTTCCATCCAAAGGCTTATAAGTGGATGTTCACAGCAATATCATTCTTAATAGCAAAAACATAACAATACACATGCATATCAACTTTGAAGTTGGTAAATAAAATGTGGTATATGTATGGAATACTATTCAGGAATTTCAAAGGCGCTAACTACTGACAGATGCAACAGTGTGAATGAACCCCAAAACATTATGCTGTTAGAAAGCCAGACACAAAAGACTATGTATTTCATGATTCCATTTGCATGAAATTTCTAGAAAACGACAGAAGGCATATTGATGGTTGCCTAGGGTTTGTAGTGGGAATGAGAATTGACTACAAACAGCCACAAGGAATTTGGGTTCTGGTGATGGTTATACAAATCTATACATTTACTAAATATCATTGAACCATAGAGTTACAATAGATAAATTTTATCGTGTGTGAGGTCAAGTTGTTAAGAAAAATTTGCAATATGTAAATTTATAAGAATAAGGCAGATTAACTTCATGTGGTCCTAATGAAGAATTTGATTTCTCAAAATAGGCTTGAGGTTTTAGCCAGAATGCAGGAAAGAGGTAGATACTATTGAAATGTACACATCATTGCAGGCTTTTTTTTAATCAGCCCAAATTATGAAATAAAATAAAATAGAAAATAAAGTTTTCTAATAATACAAGTTACGTTAAGTAGGCTATAATGAAGTAACCCCCTATGAATTACATGTAAACATCCTTTCCATGTATATTAAATTTAATCTGCATGCTTGTCTTTTTGAGACCTGAGGGGAAAGCTACACCACAGTGGGAGGAGGCTAACTCTCTCCTTTCAAGAAAGGGATATTTGTAGCGTCAATTTTTACAATACAGATGGGCCCTGAGGTGAAAACAGAATTTGAGAGTAAGTTTTAGAAGAGAGAAAAAACTCTAGGTTCTTTCTGGGCCTTCTTTAGGGGTCTTTGAGTAGTGATGGAAACTTGTGAGAGTGGAGCAGAGACTACGGAAGGTCACAGACACAATGCAGTTATAGTAAAAGTAAAATGCCTTCAATCTGAGGACATGGAACCTGAAAAGAAATTTAAAAACAAAATCCGTGGCATAATTTATTTGATTCCATTCTCAGGATATGATACAAGTTGAAAATGAGAAAAAGATTTATGAAATATTCTGATTAATTTGTAGGTGGCAGAAGAAATTGCTGAACTGAAATTGCCTAGGCTGGGATAGGACTATGTGTCCTTCCGTTCATCTCTTGCTCACTGCTTACTCCCCAGTCTTGACCGGTACATTGTGTGGCACATACTAGATAGTCAATAGTAGGAGGATAAATGAATGTCTCATGACATTCATATCTCTCCTGGACACCCCATTTCTTACCTAATATTCCTCCCATCCCCTAGATTTGGCATGTATGTGTCTATTTCTATAGAGATGTAGTTAATTGTCTTTAAATTCTCATGTCTCTGTCACTGTGCCTGTAGTTATTTATTGTTTTTATGTGCTTGGTAAAGATTTATGTTTTTCTTGTAACTGCTTTGCATTGTAAGTGTCCTAAAGTATCTGAAAATTTGTCATATTATGTAAATCACTGACAAAATGGAAGGTTGTAAAGCTATATAACTAATACCAACATTTTGAGGATAATGGATTGACTTAGATAGGATTCTTTTTAAAATTCTATGTCCACTTAATGAGATATAAGAAAAATAAGTACAAGTGAGACAGAGGATGATCATGTAAAGGTAACCTATGGTTATAGATATACTATGTGCTGTAATTGGGATATTAAGTTTACGCAGTAAGTTAGTGTATTTTGCTCAGCTTTATGTTTTGTTTTGTTTTTTTTTGTTTGAGAAACAGAGCACAAAGTAAACTGTAGCATTAAAAGCCAGCCCCACTGCAATTTATTTTTATAGCATAGTGCAAAACAACCCAAGCTGAAAGTACATTCAGGCACCGAGATTTAAATCCCTAATGGTAAGAAATAAGTTCTATGAACAGATGTGATCATGGATTCTGAGTGTATTTGCTTGTGGCAAAAATAAAAGTACCAACTCAATAAGTTTTAATTTATAGGCATCTACTCCAGAAAGCCTTGGGCACTTTGAACAAAACTGACTAAAAATAAAATTTAGTAAAATAAAACCCAATATTCCCTATTCTCCGTTCACACTAGGGAATATACATTTTCCAAGTGGCTAGGAGAGAGATTTTGCCAGTTTTCTTCTAGGTGCTTTCTTGGAATTGTAGCTGTGTTGTACTCTAGAAGAGAATCTTACGACTGGCTACATTCCTGGATACCTGAGAATGTGAAAGCAGAGTGATTGATGGCCATCAATTCCCAGATTTTTTTTAATAACAATGGCCATACCTAACCGGACATCCTGCAAACATGCAGAGCTTTTCTGTTCTCACTCTTAGGAAATGTTATTTGTCCCATTTCTCTAGCAGAAGCCTTCTTTTTGTATTGAAATCTGTATATCTCTATCTCTATCTCTATCTCTATCTATCTCTATCTAATGTATATCTATCTATCTCCATTCGGCTGGTACTCAATATGTATCTGAACACCAATAAATTCTATGAGTCCACCATTGGGCATATAATATACTAAAAATCTTCGTTCATGCAGTATATAAATGATGGAACAAAGAGACAGATGTGTGGCTCTGACCTTGAAAAGAAGGTCTTTTCATTGCAGGTCCTTTCATTGCTTACCTCACATTTTTTTCTTTCAAGGTCTCACTTGTGAATTCCAGTATGTCAGCAGCTGTCCCCACAAACATAAGGAGAAGTTCAGAGAGTTGGTGCCGAGTGATTGTGCCTCCAATAGGTAGAAGCCATCTTCCAATTATTAGCATTAATAAGAGTGTCTGATGGAGGGCCAAAGTCCAATCTTTCTCACATACTTCAGATAAGTTATGTATAAAAACTCTGGCCTGTTTAACAGAAATGTCATACAGACAAAATGGGTTATGAGTTACCAACTTGGAGAGAGATACCTTCTTCACCGTGGCTTTCAATCAAGAGTTAGCTTCTGTGGAAGGTTATTTTCAGAGGATGATTCTTCACTTACTAAAGAAAGTAAAACTCCTTTCAACTGAATGATCTGAAAAAATAAAAAAGCTAATGTGGTTCTTAAAATGAGCAGCCTTTTAACTAGAAGTAAGTTAAATCTTCACTTGCTAGTGGGGTTCTTCTGTATGATATTTAAAAAGCCAGTGTTATGACATTTTAAAGATCATTTTTTATTTTATTATTTTCTGGAACAAAGTATAGCACATAGAAATTTTTAAATCCCATGTTAAAATAAAAAAAATTCCTATATATTTTTTCCAGTGATTTTAAGTCTGAATTTACAAATCGGGGAGTATCTTAGCACGGTAGAAATCTTCTTATTTTTTATTGCTTTAAAACACTACTATATCAAATGATAAAATATATGATGTGTATTCATTACCTAAATGTAAATAAAGAGAATAACTATAAAGGTATTATTTTTATTCTGAATATTTAACATATTATTCAAACATCCATAAGCTACAACCACATTTTATTCTGCCCTTATTCTTGGGCCCTAAGAAAAATGTACATACCATTCATCTATCCTGGATAAAACCTCTTGCCCATTTAACTTCTAAAAAAGTTTTGAAAGTATATCATTGACCCTACTGGTTATGATCTAGAGGGCAAAATTCTCAAGTGGATTGCATCGTGACTCCAAGTGCAAATCTATTTATCCCTTTAGATCACTTGCTGATGTCAAGTGCAACAATAGAGGAAGGATAAAAGACAAGTCAGGATTCTACCCTATTGAAACAATGATGAAAATCAATAGTCTTTCATTTATATACTTCTTTCTATTTCTTCTATGAGATTTCACATACGTCTTATTTAATTCTTATTGGGAGCATACTGGCTGGGGATGTATTAATATTTTCAATTATCAAATAAAAAACTGCGATACAGAGACATAAAGTGACATTCAAAGGAATGTCGGTAAGCTGTGATTGGAGCTTAATTAGAACTCAAGTCTAGTTCTATTGTACCTCATGAAATCAGTAGCCTATCTTATTGTTGAAAATATGGTTCGATGGTTGGGGCCTTGGCCTTGAGTGTTTTAGTTTATTATTTTCTAATAGGCTGTGGTTAGTTTGCCAAAATCAGGCATGTGAAGAACAAAAACATGATTCGATTTTGGCTGGGAACCTTCCTTATTTTATTAATATGGACACCAAAAAATATATATGCAGATCGCAATCTTATAACTATATAATTCCCTCACAAATATCTGTATTTCTCTTTTTACATATATTGTCTGGCCTGAGTATAAAGGTTCCTTAATGCTGCAAATTAAATATATCTATTCATATATATCTGTATATATGCCTATTACACATGTTAACTATGTTTAATAAATATAAAGATACAATTATTTTTAAAATTCCTGAGTCAAACAAACAACTGGTAAATTTCATTAGGAAAGAATGAACTGAAAGGGGTAGAGCACATTATCTCTATCAAGTGACAAGATTTGCTAGGTCCTTTAACCTACTGCAGGAAAAGTGCTCACCGCCTCGAAGAGATCATCTCCTCCATGGGTTTGTTCATTTAACATCAGAGTTTGATTGACGTCTTCTTTGCTGCTGGTATTCTGTGACATTCCTTCTGACTGGCTACTACAAGACTATGAATTTTGTAAAAAGATAATTTGTCAGAAAAAAACCCCCACAAAAGGTAGAATTTAAAGTGGCTTCAATGTATCTATGAAATTATGAGCAGATATGCAGAGTTTAAACAGTATGCATAAATATCTCCAAAACTCAGATTATGTGCTTGCAACAGAAAACCAATTTTTAATTAATTAGAAAAGAGAGTCTATTATATTTGTCTTATTTTTCCACAAGTCTATGAAAATGTAGACACTCTGAGTTCATTGTAGAGAACATAGAACTTAAATAATTGGGATTCTGTTTTCAAACATTGGAATAATTGTAAAACAAGCCAACAACCGATGACAGTATGAAAACATGTATGATCCTGGTCAAAGCATTCACTCTATGAGTTTGTTTCTTGTCCAGAAGCCTCTTTATCTAAAATACAATTTTGCTTAAGTAGATGATCTAATTATTTTCAATCTCGGCTATTAAATACGATAACAACCAAAAAATTAACACATTTGCCCACCAAAATATATATATTTAGTGCCAGTTTAGAAGTCAATTTAGGTTTATATAAAATTTGATAATAGGCCTAAAATAAATTACATTTCCCCCCTTCTTGTTTGTTTATTTTACACGTAAGTCTCTGCAAGTGGACAGTGCATGATTTTTATCCAGAGAGGTGCTGGCTATCTGAGGCACAGAAAGAGAAAGTAAGTAAGAAAGGAAAAGGGTGGAACTTGAAGATGTAGCTGTACCAATGATTATTTCATAAACAAGTAAAAAAATAATAGTAATGAGGTTGAAGTTTTCTTTATACATCTGCAGAACTAGCATACTTTTGAATCACACACACATACCACCACCAACACCCATCCATGATCACACATGTGGATTTTGAGAGGAACTATTTTCTTAAAAATGCTAAAGTTGTAAGAAGTGTACTTTTCTTAATTATTCTGGATACTTTGTCAATCATTCTATGAGCTATTTTAAAAAGTAGAAAAGAAAGTCTGTCAAGAAGCTATTTTTTTCTACCCTCCATCAAAACTGTAAGTGTTAGGGGTGAAATGAAAAGAATAATTACGGAAATTGGCCATGTGCCATATCTCTTAAGAGGAAAAAACTGCTGTTTTCACAATTTTTTTTGTATAACTAAGGCTCCAAGAAAAGATAATAAAAATACAAAACTTAAATATTTGAACCAAGTAACAAATTCTCATTGCAGAATAACTTTGTGGCTCTAGCTAAGAATGAAATGTTCAATAGGAAACAAACTTTGGCCATCTTGTTTGTAGGCATTGAAGCAGATTGTATATTAAAAGTGTGACCTTTTATATCCCTTTATATATTTTTATATCCTTATCACTAAAAATCCAAAGACAACTTCTTATTTTAAAGAAAAGTAATCTGCTCTGCAGTATAAGGTAACTTGGTAGCAACTGGCTCTGTCACCCATATTATGATGTTATAACCTGAGTCCCTCCTCACTCCTGTAATTCTGTTTATAATACTTTCCTTTGAGTGGCAGCTGCCTTAGGACTGCAGAAAGCAATTGGTTTGACTCTTTAACCTTATCTGACTTGATTGTTTTTATGGTAATATTGTTTACATTCAGCATCCTGTAGATGAGTTCATGTAGATAACCTGGGTGCCAACAAGGCACTGTTTTATGAGCTATGTCTTTAAAAGTCTTACGAGCTTCAAAAATATTCCTTTGGGTCAAACTAGACTGACACCATCTAGACCAACAAGTTTCCATTGCTTTAACTATATAACTTCAGAAATTAACCTAAGAGTTAAGGTCCTAAGTGTTGTCATAACCATCTTGTTTCCATTCATGCAGACCTTGGCAGATTCAGGAATGAAGGCACAAAATTGATCATCTAGAAGTGTTCGCATGAAATAGGTCAGCATGCTTTCCTAAAGCCAAGTTATAGGTTAGAACACTTAGGATTTAGAGTATACGGAAAAGTGTAAGGAAATTAAATTACTCTTTCCCGTCATGAAAAATGTAGATGATTTTGAGGCTAACTCCTCTAAAACATAGAACACATAACTGAGAAAGGCAGCATGCTTAACAGAGTAAGGATCAAGACGTAGGTTCTAAGTCCCAGAAAGTTGTTGGTTAGCTGTGTGGCCCTGAGAAAATTACTTAATCGTTTTTGAATCTTGGAGTCCTCTTCTATAAAACAGACATGTCTATACCATGCCTAACGCATGTACTTGTTGGTTTATAAATGAGGAAACATATCTGAAAATACTTTTAAATAAAGAGAAAAGGTGATTATTATTACAACCAAAATTTCCTATATGAATGGACAAAGAGAATTCCTTAATTCTGTCATTTCTTTAAATGTAATTCTAATACTTTTTTGTCTCTTTTGCTCTTACCTTTGTTCTATTTTCCTCTCTGCCTACCCTGCCCAGTTCAATCTTTGGACACTTATTTTAATTCTTTGTGTCAAAATGAATCAAACCCATTACTACTAAAGGTCCAATTTCTTTTGTAGTAAGAAAATTAGAGAATCACTGCCTGTGGCTCAAAAATCTTTTTTTTTTTTTATTAAAAAAATAGCTTTTGGTTGCAGGCTATTTGTTGTAATGGGATTTGACCTGTATATCAATTAACTGTGCCACACATTTATATTATAAAAGCATTTGGGGCAATGAATTGTTATTGTGGATCATAGCCATGTCATCAAATTGGATGTGACAGGAAAAAAATGATTCGAATCACCAGAGCTTATTTCTATACCCCTGAAAGTAGTAAGCAGTAAGGAAATTGAAACAGTCCCCTAACTCCCTATGGTACAATTTTTAAAAGTCATGATAATTTGAACCAACCAATCTACTGTTACAAAAATACTTTTGCTACAGAGATAGAGATATCCTATCACTTTAATATTTTTTTAAATGGGAAATTTAAGGCAGATAAATGTTTTCTTCATGCCTGTATTGTTGGTACATGCTCGTGGAATTGTTCAAAAATAGTTCACAGAGCTAAATTCCCCTGTGTGCCAAAAATTTGGAGCAAGTATTTTCTAGATAAGTTTGAATATCTGAAACATCTATAGGAGGCTTAACTTTGCTGTAAAATAACCAACTGCAGCAAAGAAATCTGTACAGGGACAAATTCTCACAGATCTTACCTGTCCTATTTTATTAGTGAAGGTAATAAAATAATTTTATATCATAATTACCGTTTATCTGTAAAACATAGTCTTGTAACCTGACCCCTGAAGATGTGAAGTCCAACTGGTGTCTGATGGGCTTTAGTAACTGACCTCCCTGGTGTTATACAGGTGCATTAAAAACAAGAAATGGCTGAATCCAGCCTAGAGCCCACTACCTAGGTTTGCCCTAGTAAAGCAACTCACTTAAAAATCACAACTCCTCTCTACATGTAGAGTAGGGTCTCATTGAAAGCCATTGTTTATTTTCAAGGTGAATGTGCTTCTAATATGTATAGCCCACATTTCCTAATGGTGGTTTCATGACTTTTCTCCTTTACTCTTCTTTTGGGGCTCTTAAATAAAATCCCTATTTCATTAAAAAAGCTCATGGGGCTCTCAGAAGCGAATCTCTTGTAATTTTGCAAAGCCTGTATTTTAACACAGACTCTCTCAAGTAGCCCCTCTAAGTTTGATTGCATTTATATATCAGAGTACAAATGATGGGGCTTTTTTGTTTTTGTTTTTGTTGTTCTTAAAAACATTGTTTTGTAGAATGCTAGGTAATCAAGCCCTGCCCATTCTTAGCCCCATATAGAAATTCACTGATGCTGCAAGGGTTAAATAATTTTTACAGCCCCATGTAAACTCTGGAATATTGGGAGGTAGGGAAGTTTTAAGAACAATGCCTCTAACACAAATTGTTCATTAATTATGTAATCTTGTTTTAAACGAACGTGGTATTTGTACTGCTTTTGCCAGATCACAAATTCACTTTCCTTTGCCAATAAACTCTATTAAATTCTTGATAAGTCCAGTTGCTTAGAAAAAGTGCATTTCTGACACAAATTGGATTAGACTATGCAAGGAGATTATTGCTGAATATTCCACTCTCCTACTTTCCAAAAGGGTGTACCTGGGTCCCATGGTGCACTTCAAGAATCCATAATGATGGAACGATATTAATTAGATATACAAATATGGCTGGTGAAAACCTGTGAAAGGGGGAAAAAATAGAGTTCAGCTTTTACAAGAAAAATTTTAAAGAAAGAAAAAATAACTGCACGTACTCTGACCACAGTGAGTCAAACCTTTTTATCTCAAGTGTTTACTTCAATGGGGAAAAAAAGCATTATGTGATTTCTGCCATATGGATTATAGAGAAACAAAGTAACTGTAAAAGGCACTAGCAGCTGTCATTCTCACTGAATTTCTAATCCAATTAATAGAGGTTAATTTTAATATGGTTTAATGGGACACTGCCAATTAATTTCAGGCACAAAACTGGATTTTTTTTGTATTTAATATATTTTTTAAAAAGCAAATACAGCAATAGTAAATCTTGGATTTTTCAATATTGCAATTTCAGGAAGACTGGCTATATTTTTCAACATTAACCTGGAATTCTGAGAGCTCAAATAATATCCTACTAGAACACATAAACCTGATAATAATGAATAGGTTTTAATCAACTTTATTTATATTTGCTAAACCTACTAAAAATAAAAATACATACAAACAACAACAGAAGAAGAGGTCAGTATTTTTTAAAAAACTATATTCATTGTTATCTGGCTCAAAATTCAGAGGGCTATCCAAAGGTTGGGCTTGTAGTCAGACACATTCAGTTTCAAATGCCAATTTTGCCACTGACCTCTCTGTTTGAAACCTAAACCACAAAATGAAGATCGTTCCTCTATTAGTCATCTTAGGCTGCCATAACACAATATCACAGAATGGTTGGCTTGACAACAGAAACTCATTTTTTCCCAGTTTGGGATGTTGGAAGTCCAAGATCAGGGTTCCAATATTGAGATTTGGTGAAGGCTCACTTCCTAGTTTGTAGATAGCCACCAAACTGCATTTTATTTTAGATTGGACTCTGATAGACCACGTTAAAGTCAAAATTGTAAGTAAATGTAGCTTTGTTAAAGCACTCGTAGTACACACATGTGATGGTTTAAAATGACCTGATAAATAGAAATGTTAATTGCCTAATGAGTAGAATTATTTGAGATTTAATGCTACTGAAACCACACTATTATAATCCAGAAGAGAAAAGTGAATAAATCTAAGTGAAAGAGAACATTTAGAAAGGACTTTTTAAAGGCTTTCAACCTTTTCACTAATACCTCCTTTCAAATTCTGGGAAGAGGAATGGAGAAAGGGTAAGAGAAAGAGAGCTCTTTAAAAAAAAGTCAATATTTAATATAGATACTCCTCCACCTTTGATTTCTTGCAAAAACCAATTTTGAAACAAAAATTTATGGGTCACATTATTAAAATCTGACTTGGAAGATGGCCGGGCTGCAGAGAGATATCAAAAGCCCCCAATTGAACATGCTCTTGAAAAGAAAAGACACAATTAATTTTTGACCTTCCATATCAAGGGAAACATCAGGAGAGAATATTTCCTTTGTGAGATTGGGAAAGGAAATGGATTTTAGTTGGAAGGACAGTTGGAATATGTAAATGTTTGTTTGGATACCTCACATGTTGGCTTGGACTGCAATTCTTTTGACTCCCTTGAGATTGATTTTGGGATTATCTCCCCTAAGAATACCACTGCAATAATAATCTAGGGAAACCATAGACTGAAAATGTAATAGCTCTTGAAAGAGGTTAAAAATAAAACAAGCAATCCCCTGTAACATTTTTCATGCATGAGATTAGTTTCCATAATTGGAAAAAATGCTATCCTGTTTCAACTTATTTCCTATAATTAGGAATCTAGTTATACAAAAAAAAAAAAAAAAAAAAAGGAGGGGGAAGAAAAGGTCAAGATCTAAGGTTTTCTGTGTTGCTTACTAGAAACAATCTAAATTCCACAAACTGATATTCAAAGCTTCCATTATCTAGTCTTGTCTCCAATTCTCCTCCCTCTTCCTTTACCACATCCTACCAAGCTAAGCTACTTGAAACCAGCTGCGTAGTTCCAACCTCCTGTGTATTGGAAAGCAAAGCAAAACTAAATGTTTTGGGAAGTTCCCCTCACATCAGTCCCCTCTTCATTAGACTTACCTGACATAAGTGAAAAGGGGGTAGAGAAAAGGAAACACATTAAGGGCCCAAGAATTAATCACATTCAAATCATGAGAGTCTGAGTCCATAGTTTTTCTCATCATATTTCCCACCCTCTTAATCCGACACCTTAGAGGAGTTTCTGCAATTTCAAAAGGCTTCCAGGTAGAGTTACTAATGAAATACATAGTACCACATAGTGATCAATAGCAAATCAGATTCAGGAGCTTCCTTCTCTGCTTCCTCTCTCTCTAATTGCCCAGTAGCAGGCTGTAGCAGCAATACAACTCAAATTCTCCAAAAACTTACGGAGAAAATGAAAGTATTATTTAAAGATGTATTAAAATATTTTATTTTGGCTATGAAGAATAAATTTCAGCCATATATGTTTTGTTCGACCATGGATCCCCGTTAAGAATGAAATGCTCTGTGCTTCTTCAGCTTGGTTAATCTGAGAAGAAATGTTCAGAAATGGCTTTTTAACAAGTGTCCCTCCAAATTATAATTACCTGCTTTGGAATGCCCTCTCTTTACATCTCTACCCAATCAACATCATACCTGTATTTCACAGGCATGCTGGGAATTAATCTTAACTTGTATTTCCCCTGTGACCCAACACATTCTCACATTCTCCACTGTTTCATAGTTATGGGTACATGAGACTTAATTTTTCTAAGTTCCGTGAAGGCAGATCCTGAATCTTGTATCTTTATGTCCCTTCCCCTTCCCTTTCATCTTTTCCTCTCCTCAGTCTTTACTAAGACTGAGTCTTTAATTAATGCTTATTAAGTAAATACTTATTTGTTCAAATCCCTGAATTTATGAATAAGGGAGGACTGAACAAATAAGTGGGTGGAAACTACTGACATGTACAAGGACATCGTATTCTCATTTTAGGAGGTTCAGTAGCAGGTGTGCTCCTTGAATTGTGTCCCTTGAGGAGTTATTACACTGCAGTAGAAATTCACAAACCTAAGAGGCCCAAATTTGAATTTTGCCTCTTTCGTTCATTCATCTTTGGAAAATCTCTAGCTTCCCTGAGACTTTATGTACTCTTGTCTATAAAATGGGGATAATAATATCCACCTTATAGAGTGGGTGGGTGAGGATTAAATGAGACAGTGTGTGTTATGTACATGAGTCACTGCTTTACAAAGACTTAGCTCTGCAAATACACTCATGGCTGAAAGAGGACCCAGAGGATACCCATTTAGAAGACTGTCTTCAAACAATTAAAATCAATCCTGTTTTTAAACTATGATTCTCAAAACTAAACCTATTTAAGACTCCAGGAATCAAGGGAAGTTGTTTGTACCGCTGAGGACATCATTATGCCTTAACTTCACACTGTTAAAGCAATTACTGTCAGTCATACAGCCATGGTTCACATGGGCCATTTGCCCCTCCCTCATGACCTACAAAATGCTGTACAATCAAGGCTCTGCCTACTTCTTGGGCTCCAATACTTGCCAGTCTTCCTCACTGTGCTCCTCTGCCAGTGTTTTTCTTTCAGTTCTGGGAAAAAAGCTTAGTGCCTTCCTAACTGAGGACTTCACTTATACTTGTTTAGTCCTCTCCCTTAAAATACCTCTCATCTTTCACCTAATTATCTCCTTTTCATTGTTCGTGTAAGCTATATGGATGGACTCTACAGAAAAACTTTCCTCACCCCTGCAATCTAAATTAGATATCCTTGTTATGCTTGTCCCTTGGCACTCTTTACTTTTAACCCAAATTTTTTTTTTTTGCTGCAAGTGTTTCTCAAAATTTATAGTTATATATGCATATATGTATATGTACACACGCATGTGCATTGCTGTCTCCCAGCTATGCTAAGTAATACAAGCACAAGAGCTGCATCTGTCTGCTTGTCATATCCTCATCTCCTTCCACACATCGTCATACATGGTGGGCTCCCTACAAATATAGAGTGATTTGATAAGCCTGTGGTTGGTTTACAGTTCCTACTTACCTTTCCTACAACTTTGCTGCTGGTTTGACTAGAAACCTCTTCTTGAAATGGGAGCACGAATTGATTTTATCAGAAGGCTTACTGAAGAAAACTAATTATTCTGTTCTTGTAGAATTTAGTATTGTTTTGCTGCTATGAAAGATTTAATATTTCAAGGTGACATTTTAGCCATTACTTATTATTTTGAAGGTTTGCTATATTTTTGATACTGCATTGTTTGTGCAATTCATTTTTGGAACCAAAGAGAAATATGACTTTTCAAAATTGAAAGCTAGGCTCCATCCTACCTTGCTCTATGTAACTAATGAAATTGGGTGGCCTTTCTCAGCAGCTACCAAATCATTTTATTCAGTCATCACGTCTTAATGACATCAGAAGTAAGGAGATGCCGCCATGACTGATGTGGCTCAGTTGGTTGGGCGTTGGCCACAAAGCAAAAGGTTACTTGATTTCTGTCAGGGCACATGCCTGGGTCGCAGGTCAGGTCCCTGGTAGGGGCATGCAAAAGGCAGACGACCGATGTTTCTCTCACACATTGATGTTTCTCTCCTCCTCTCTCTCCCTCCCTCTCTCTCTAAAAATAAATAAATACAATTTTTTTAAAAAGGTAGACTTTGTATGAAGACTACTATTATAGACAAGCTTAATCAACTAAAATATAACTTAAAATAGGTTTCTGGATACTAGTTTATAAAAATAAGATATACTATTCATAGACTAACAAAAACTGGTAAATGTATGAATAAATGAATAAGACACATCCAAGTGAAAAATATATACAAAATTGAGAATACCCTATTACTAATAAGATATCTGTTCTTAGAAACTCATTTATTACAATACTATCTTACAATTGTAATACTAATTACAATTACTATCTTATCAGAATATAGAAGGTGCCCAACATTAATACTTTAATGCCAAATTACTTTGCCTTTGCTAAGATATGTTTTTTCTAAATTAAAACCTTCCTAAAGATATCCTTTATCACCACAGAAATTT